AGCGTGTTTCCTTAGGGTCCATATTCCAAACAACAAGTATTTTTATTTAAAAGATATACCCATGGGAACATTGCAGTTTGGGTAGCACTGGTTGAGGAAGCAAATAACGACTGATGGTGATAAGTAGAAGAGAGAAATACAAAGTTTAGTGCGAAATTATATTGATGTGTTTGTCAACAATAATACAATTGTACATAGATCGCTGACCGAAGTCTAATATGTTTCCATGAGGTGCACATTTTGTTTGCGATATTTCCATAAAATCTAAACATTGCATCAATGCTAATGTGAAGACAAAAATAAATAAAATAACATTGGGCCACATGGGTGGATACTGATGGAAAAAAAATAAAAAATATAGTAAAATAAGGTGTGAGTGAATGATAGAGAATATTTTTAGCAAATACGGAATGACAAAATCATGTCGAGTATGTAATGGATATTTTTACTTTTCTTAAAATTTCAAGTTAAATGCAGAAGAAATAAGCATCATCAAAAGTAACATGGTCGAAAGAGGGCCAGTGATAGAAGACAAGATATGAAAGCATATACATGTCAATAAAACCACAAGCACAGTATGGCCAATGACGAGATAGGTGCTGAAATAGATGACAAGATGCCGGTACAAATAATCAATGTTTATATTTTATCAGGGAAATTTCATAAATATATAGTAGGTGCAAAGATAAATGTAGAGGGATGAGAAAAGAGGGAACAATATAATCGATGTATTTTGCATGGCGGGAGGCATAAGCTGATTGTCTTGATCGTCCAGGTGTTCACCAACAACCTTAAACATATGATGGAAATATTTCGGCCAAAGTTTAATCACGCTTTCATGTCTTCCAAGTTTTTTCATTGCTATAATTTTCTATAAATATTGGAAAATAAATAAAGAAGATTCATAGAAAGAATCACTAACAGATAAATATGTAGACCACGTCTAGCAATGTGACCCACGCATTTGCGCGACTATAGGTATTAAAAAAATTGTTCAGCGTATATTACAAAAATGTTCAATATGTATTTAAAAAAAAATCAGCGTATATCACAAAAAATTTCAATATCTATTTTGAACTTATTCAGCTTATATTATAAAAATGTTCAATGTGTCTTTAAAAATTGTTCATAATATATTACAGAAACGTTCAGTGGTTGAAAGGTCAATTTTATTGGATCTGCCAGTGCATTTATATCATAGATGTTTGTGCGGCGATTGATCACTAGCACCCATCAGCTCATGTGGTATGAAACACTTATTCTCTATCGTGGGGTTGCGAGTTTGAGTCCTCAACCAATCGTCCTTTTTTAGGATTTTAGTAGCGGCTTGCTATGATGTCACCGTCTAGGGGCCCATTCAGATTGTCCAGTGCGTGAAAGCTCGTATGTTTGACGCTCGCGGGTGTCATCTAGAGGGAGCAAGTAATCGAGGGGTAACCCTTGAGGGAGCCCCGCAAGGGTCACTTCTACGTGTTGCATGATGGACGCTTCCTCGGATTTTTATTTTATTTTTCTATACACGTTTTCGGGTTTTTGATGGGTTTTTTCCATAAACCCATAGTGGAGAGACAAGTTTTGCTTTCACGAGAGGCGCAAATTTGCTTCTTGTGGAGATACAGTTGTGCCTCTTGGAAAAGGATTTCTTTTTCTTTTTGCTTTCCCGGGAGGCACGAATTTGCTTCCTTTAGCCGCATCTCTCGGAAAGGGAAAAAATGCCAATAAAAGTGTTTTGTCGAAATCTATGGACATGGGATCCAGTTTCGAAGATCTCGACGTGAGAAGCACTGCATGGGTGCCACTTGTCAATCCCCGAGAAGGTGGAAGTGACCTTTACAAGGGGCGCTCCTTAACTAGTGATTGCGCTGGGAGGAGGCGCAACGAGCACCATCCACTCCCCTAGCGTGCCATTTTGGCTGGCCCATGTATGGGGGCGCCCTATTTTATTCATTTAATTTCTTTTTCTTTTTTTCCTTGTTTCTTTAAATAATTCAGGATTTTATAAAAGTTCAAAAATTTTAAGAAATTGTCAATTTTGAAAACAAGTTTTCAAGAAATCATCAAATGTTCATGGATTCATAAAAAATATTCATGATTTTTCAAAATATGTTCGCATATTCAAAAAAATGTTTCGGAAATCGAAAATGGTTCGTCTATTCAAATACTGTTCATGAAATGGAGCAAATATTCGGAAATTCAAAAAATGTTCACCAATTTTTAAAACATATTCACAAAATTAAAATTATTCAACAATTACAAAACAGAGATAATAAACTTAATAAATGTTTGCTAATTCAATAAATGTCCATATATTTGAAAAATGTTCGTCAAAGAAAATCGTGACTTTAAAAAATGGTTCCCCAAATTTCCAAAAAAATACATTCATTCATTCATAATGTTCACAAATTCATAAAAATGTTCCCGGGTTTCTGAAAAATGTGCACAATTTATAAAAAGTATTTGCGAATTTGTAAAAAATGTTTGTGGATTCAAAAAAAGATCATGATTTTAAATTTGTTCACAAATTTTAAAATGTTTGGGAATTTGAAAAAATGTTCGCGAATACGACAAATGTTCATGAGTTCAAAAAAGGATCATGAGTTCAATAAAAAGAAAGAAAATGAAAAGAAATAAAAGGCAAAAAGAAAAAATGAAAAAGAGAAAAGAAGGAAAAGAACGCAAAAGGAGAAGCAAAGGAAAAACACAAAAAAGGTAGTGAAGGTTCTAGAACCTTCCTAGAGTCGAAAAAAGCTAATGGGCCGACCCAAATATGTGTAGCGACATACGCGCCCAATCGGGGTGGCCCCTCCTTTGTGCCGCTTAATGTGACGAACTGCCCTCATTTTGCACAAGGGGGGCATCCCGCCTAGGCCGGCTCACAGAGTAGTAGCCACGCATGAGTGTTGGTTCAGAGTAGTAGTGGAACTCGTCGGCTGCCACCGCACCATGTTTGTGTGGTAAGCGCAACTGAGGGAGAAAATGAGTTGTACTACCCGGTTAAGCTGTGAATGACTCTTCACTGAACACCTAGGTTTTTCGCATTACATACCCACACGGACTACATGGCGATGGCAACCTGAGCGACGAGTCGACTATCAACACCCATATTGTGCTGATGGATTGGACCACAACTCAGGCATAAAGTGGGGAAGACGAGCCATGGTTCAAACTGTGATTGAGCGAAGCGATCCCCACATCGTTCGAATCTGACCCCCGCCCGCCAGCTAGCCCCCACCATTGAGAATTGTTCATTCGGGTATATGGCGCGTATCCAACTTTCGCGCAAACCAAACATGTCCCATCAAACCAAATTTATTGAATTCCAACAGGGACACCAACAGACGGAATTTTCAGGTGTAGGTGAGCCTGGGCACCAAAATGCGCTCCTCTTGTTCTACATGGTTTACTATTGTCTTGGAAAGATGAAGCTTCTATAATTTTGTCAATAAAGAAACATTGTTGATAACTCATTTATGGTCTATTAATCTATATGTACTTAAATAGTATTTCAGAACAAATATGCATGTCTTTGATAGATGTATACAAGTTTGATATACATTTTTGTCCTTGCCATTTATTATCTTTTGATACATTGAACCGTATTTGAGTAGTTACATAGTTCCTGCTGATTGGTGTGCCCAGGACTATCTTTTTCATGTGTTTTCCGTAGTTACAGGAGGCAAATAACTCAAATGGTGGTGGATAAGTGCAACAGATCACCCAAAATTATTGGTACAGGAACTGTAAACACAGGCTGGGTGGATGTGCGGTAGGTGAGCACTCATCATGTACTAGGAGAAAGACGGGAAAGAATTGATGCAAAAAAAATATACTAGCTATAGAGTGGCTAGCCGACGAACCGGTGGACTTGCACTGCTAAATGCAGACTTCGACGACGACCGTAGAACATGGGGGTGGGATTCAGTGATTGTGGACGAAGAACATGGCAACGGCGACCACATTGGCAATGCACCAGATTAATATGTTATTCAGCCAGGCTTGATTCTCTTCAAGATGTGACATGCGATGGATGGAGTCCAGAATGCTATAACAGGTGACTCCATCAGGGGCTCAAGTACGGTATATACTTGTTCTTTCGCTTCCGAAACTTGCATCCTCCTGTCTGCAAGGGATTTGTGTTAGTTGGACAGAGTTCAAACGATGGGTGAAAAGGTAGATGATGAACTTACACCATGGAGATCACTCTTGTAGAAATGCCTCACCGGGTTTACCACTGCCTGAAATGAACCAGACCATGTACCGGGCGTTACTCAGGGCAATGGATGAGAATGAACGGGGTGACCTGGCTAGAACTAACATTGGATGAAGGTGGCGGAGAGCTTCCCTGCGACATGGATAAACACATGGCTCCGACCTGTGGCGAGAAGATGGTGGCAAGAGAGCGAGAAGCCGAGAACGAGGGCAAAGCAATAAGGCTGAATGGATTAAAGAGAAGGAGGGTAGCGTGCTGCAGGTAGCCATTGCAACTAACGAGCGATTCAATGCATGTCGTTTATTTGCATGCCACAGACCTGACCTGTCAGGTAGAATATGAAAGGTATACAAGCTGGATATGGTGCGGAGATATGAATATACATGCTCGCGGTATAAGAACTGCACGAATCACGTGGTATGATACCAACCTCGCGTACGTGGCACCATGTCCACCCGTGCTTTATCGGATCTCTATCTCTATGTGAATAAAATCAAGTGTGCAATCAAGTATTCAGCATTGCTGAGAAGGGTAACTTCTGCCACATATAAAACTGTCCAATATGACCATTTATATAACAGTGTCAATTGCGAGTGACAAATACGGTATTCTATTTATGATGCAATGGTTTGATTATTCAATGCACTTGTGCTTACCAATAAGTCCAAAGTTCACATACACAATACTATTATGTAGGCAGAGCACACACGAGTGGTCAATCTTCTCCCCACACACACACACACACACACACACACACACACACACACACACAATAATATGGACCAATATCTTAATCTTCTAGCACTATAGGGACAAGAAGGAGCTTCTCCTTCCGGCGTATTGTCACCCCAAATAATTCAGTCATACTGATGCCGCCTTTCATCGACTCTTCTGGTAGCTTCCAGTTGAAGCGGTACACTAGATTTGCTAGCATGATTTCAACGGTCGCAATCCCAAAGTTGAAGCCTGGACACATCCGCCGCCCGGTGCCAAATGGCAAGTAGGCGAAATCATTTCCCTTGTAGTCCATAGTTGCGGCGCTACCGCCATCCATGAACCGCTCAGGCATGAACTTCTGCGCATTCTCCCAACTGCCAGGGTCCCTTGCAAGGGCCCAACTATTGATGATGGTGCGCGTTCCTGATGGTATCTTGTAGCCTTTTATGTTGCAGTCGACCATGGAGTGGTGGGGCACAAGGAGCGGTGCAGGCATATGGAGCCGAAGTGTCTCTTTGATGACTGCCTCCAAATAGGCCAAATTTTTGATATCGTCTTCGGTAACCATTTCTTTTCCCTTTGGTATAGAACTCCTCAACTCATCTTGTAGCTTCTCCATGAGGCGAGGATTTTGCACGAGCCGAATCATTGCATATTCTAGTACTATAAATGATGTATCTGTCCCAGCTTCGAACATGATCTACAAAAATATAGATACATATATAAGTATCAATGTTATATAAGGTTCCACATGTGTAGGCAATGTTTGTGACATCATACCGCCATCTGGGCTTTAATATGGTCTCTCGTGAGGTTGTACTCATGTTGAATAGAAAGCAACACATCGATGAAGTCATTCTCCTCGTTGTCATGTTCTGACGTCGGCTTGCTTGCATGCTCATCGATGAGATTATTGAGAAGGTCATCCCACATCTTGTTAATCTTTCTAGCTTTGGCACAAACCATCCTCTTGATGATGCCCAGCTTCACCAACATGGGAAAGTAGTCCTCCAGGTTAAATCCACCGATAAGCAATGCGTTGGCATCGATGAGTTCCCGAAAGAGTTTATCGTGGCCTTGTTTCCTGAAAAGCTTGCCGGAGACAACATGGCACACGATGTCGCTCGTGAAGGCACTGAGCAAATCACTCAAGTCGATGGAGGTGCATTTGGAGGCTGCATTGCAAATCTTGGCCATGACAAACATCACCTGTGAAAATTAATTTTAGTATGGCTGATATGGTGTATAACGTGTAGCCATGCATGGTGCAATATATCACTCAATCAAATCGGTTGTCTTTATGTAAGTTGCCTGATTTTTTAGAGCTTTCAATCACTTTGTTACTAGCATTAGATAAATTTGCATCTAAGAACTATTGCTTTTTGTAAACATGGTGTCCCTTGTCCATAACATGACTATGAAAAAAGAGCTAGACTTATTGATGAGACTACTATATAAATCTATTGAGCTCAGATGAATATCATGCACAAAGAAAACAATGGACACCATGACACGAAATGCAACACAATTACCTAAAAAGGAAAAGCAACAAAAACTTTATTTTTAGTTGAGCAACAAAAACTTATTGTAGTAGATATAGTTTATGGAATAGTATTACCTTGATAGAAAATGAAACAAAAATAATAAGACTATAATACTTTGGGAGAAGAAAAATGCTAAATTCAAGATATTCACACATATTACATGCAGAGCTTGCACTATACTAGTATTCTATGTAAGAAGAAGTGTAAAGTAGCGCAACTTCCATTAATTTAATTAAAGAGAAAAATCGTTATAGATAACTGATATTACTGTGCATCACATCACTTAGAATGTGACTCTCGTTGTCCCCCCTAGAAAATAATAAGAGTCAATTATGGCACTGGTGCTAGAACTTGGCACAAATGATCACTTTAGTGCTAGAACTTGCGGTGTACATATAAGTGGTTCAAGAATTTGGCTTGATGGTGCAAATACGGTGTTTCATACGCCTGCGGCGCTGACTATGCATGCCAACACGGCCTGTTTTTGTTTTGCAACAGGCCCCTCAACAATTTATTTTTTCTCTTATAGAAAAGGTATAGAAAATAAATTGGTCCACCGGAGGTTCAAACCAGCGACCTGCGGATTGCCAGCCCACCTACACGGCATTTTGTCACGTGAGGATACATATCCTTTAGATATTCCGACTGGACATTTCTCAAAAAGAAATTTGACTGGACAATTTTAATCTCAAAAATCAGTGCATGCTCGGTAATCCAAACCAGGAACCTTAGGGTAAATAAGTGCCTGGGCATACCACCACAACAAACAAGGTCACTTATTTGTGATGTATAATTTGGCTCACAAAAATTGTGATGTCTTATAACATTTTATGAATATAACACAACGCGATCTTGACACTAAATTGAATTGTCGTCAATGAAACCATTATAATTATGTGCTATAAATTTGTTGAAAAACATGTACATTATAATTATGTGCTGTAAATAATACACATATAAATAATATAAATACATTAAAATGTTCATATAACATCAAAACGAATCCACCCACTAATTCAACAAAAATCCATATAATTAAATTAGTGCCCGGGGATACAACTCCAACCGACGAGGTAACATATTTCTGCAGTATAATTACACTTTATGACTATAACGGAAAACGATCGTGTCGTTGAACTGAATTGGAGTCAGTGCAGAAAATTTCAACATTTTAGTTTTTGGGATTTCTAAAATTTTGTAAATTGTAATAATGCGTTATAAATAATATACATATAAGTAAAATAAATTACATTAAAAAAATGTTCATATAACGTCAAAACATATCCACATACTAATTTAACAAAACCCCACATAATTAACTTATGATTCTTAAAAAAAACTATTATTTTAAAAAAAATTCACAATTTAAGAAAAACAATTAATTATTTTTAGAATTTTTCTTATATTAAATAAATTCTTATATATGTCGATTTTTTTTCCTGATTTTTAATATCATATTCATGTAGTATATAAAAGTGATCATGATATAAGAAAATTTTAGGTTGTTTTAAAAAGAGTTAACATGTTTTAATAAATTTTTTTTGTTTTATGGAAACATTATTGAATTAAATTTATATATATAATATGTATGGAAAATAAATATGATCCTAGTGTGCCATCAGATTGCAGATTCTAAAATGTGTGCTATTTAAATCTTATAAACAGATTTTATATTTCATAAATATTTCAATTTGTATGAATATGTTTTAAAATAATGCGTGAATTATTTTTTAGATGACATGAATTTTTAAATTATGCAAAGTGTAATTATACTTTGGACGTCTTGTGTTGGGGTGGTATGCCTGGCTATGTAACCTGCTGTATTTTGTTTCTTGGACTAAAATTCTTAATTTATATGGTTAAGCCTAAAGTATATATAAAGCCTATGTATCTATACTGACATCAAATCCAAATTGGTGTGCTGGCTAGCCACCAGCGCAGGTGACCTATAGTACGCGAGTTTGAACGAGTAGCTTTATTTTTTATGTACAGTTTCTCTTGAGGGACTTTTTCGTCAAGAAAAAAAAATATCGAGAGGCTTTTCGCAAAAGACAGGCCACACGCCCTGCCCTTTGACAGCAGGCCCTACACCAAACTCGCGCGCCGCAGGTGTGTACAACACCGTATTTACACCGTCAAGTCAAGTTCTTGAACCACTTATATGTACACCACAAGTTCTAGCACTAAAGTGAACTTGTATGCCAAGTTCTAGCACTAGTGGTGTAATTGAATCAAATTAATAATACTTCAAAGCTCAGAAAATAATAACTAATCACAGGATGGAGCCCATAATCACACCGCTCAGAAAAACTCAAGATAATCCAACGGACAAGGAACCGACTGAAATGAAGAACATGGGCTGCCTAACCCTTAGGATACGAAATCCATATAATATTTTATGTTTTAAAACGAATGTGTAAGATGAATAGACAGACACTATGGGGATGGAAGAATAATCTCAATCTCGAAGGGGAAGATAGAAGATTCCAAGTTTTCTTACCCCAAACAGTTTTCTAGGGGAAAGAATTTTACCAATAATTAGGGGCACAAATTTCCACGAGTCCCCCGAATATATATTTTTAGCAAGTGAAAAGGTAGAAAAATACATAAACATTGAAAATGACAAAATGATTCTATACGATAGGGGTAGGCCCCCGAAACAATGACAAAATGTTTCAGCAAAAAATTCAGGCGACTGACTGAAAAATGCCAAACATGCAATCAAATTGACGGTTTTACCTCGTGCTCGCGCACATGGCGGTAGGAGCGGACCTTCCTGTTGGTAAGGAGGTGCGTGGTGGCGATCTTCTTGACATGGCGCCAGTGCTCGCCGTAGGGGCAGAAGGCGACGTCCGAGGGGCCGTAGAAGAGGATTTCGGTGACGGGGGAGTAGGGCCGGGACGCGAAGACGTGGTCGTGCGTGCGCAGAACGGCCTGGGCGGCGCTCGGCGACGAGACCACGAGCGTCGGGACGGCGCCGAGGCGGAGCAGCATGAGCCCGTCGCGGCCGTGCTTGTCGGCGAGGTCGCGGAGGGAGACGTGCGGGAGGGAGCCGACGAGGTGCAGGTGGCCGATGATCGGCAGCCTGAAGCTGGGAGATGGCAGCTTGCTCAGCAGCTGCTCTCTTGCGATGGCCGTCCCAAAGAGGCGCACGACCAGGATGACGAGAAGAGGGCAGACAAGCAAGGCAGAGACCACTAGGGCTGCATGTGGAGACGGAGACCTCGCCTGCAGCAGGAGTAGCAGCTCATGGAGGCTATGCTGCACCTGCGACATGTCTGTTCAGTTTACTGAATGATGGCCGTTGGGTTTATCTTCCAGAGCAGCCCCGCTGGTTTTATAGCTACAAGCTTGCAGATTACAGCAAGAGCTAGACATCTTTTTTCAGTCCATAATTTGTTCAGGGGAACTGCAGGCCGATGTAGGGAGCCACGACCATATTGAAAGGCTATTTGCAAACGAGACTGGATTTCAATGCGTTTCTTTTTAAGTTTTTGAAACTCGGGTGTAGTACACCCAAGAGTAGCCACACCTTTGCCTTTGCAAAGAGACTGGCTTTATACTATCGGGTGTACTACACCCGAATTTCAAAAATTTGGAAAAAACGTGATCAAACTAACTCGAAAAAATCTGTAACTTTGAGACATCAAACTTGATCAAATGTTCGAGGTAACTGCCAAATTTCAGCCAGAAATAACACCAAAGGAGCTCTCACCAAAACAGACAAAAACAATCTTCAAAGTTTGGTGCACTGTTTGAGAAGTGATTTTGTGACCCACAACTCAAGATAAGAACAAACATATACCAGTAAGAAGTGAAACGAATTTTCTACGGGACCAAGAATGCAGGCCATGGAGACTAGTCTATAAAATAGGAAAACATCAGGCCAGAAATGACACACACACGCGTTGGAACATCATACCGCCAGAAAGCCGACACCTTGGCATGCATGGACCAAGCATGACGGTGAGCATTGTGCCCAAGCACCATCATGGTGAGTACCGGACAACAACAATACCAGCCCACGCGCAAAGAGAGCCCCTGGTTACGGTTTTCAGATCCCACCTGGATCTAGCTCCACACCCACGCCGGTTGCAAAGACCAACGGAAAGGGCCAACAACACCTCACAAACAACCTGCCCGCAACGTGTCTTCAGGCCAGCATCAACCGGTGTGAGGATGCCAGGGTTGCAGGTTTCCTCGGGATAGATCCGACCTAGATCCGGCCAAGGGAGCGGGTCCTTATACCATATGGCGTATTTGATCATTTTGCCTTATTACTGTGTTTCTTCATTCTAGACTCGCCCGTGATTTCGGGCATAACTTTATTGTATTCTACCAATATCTATTTTTCACTCGTGACCTATTCACCCATGCTTTTTAATTTGCCTTTAAATTTTCTATCTCTTAGACCTTTTGAATCATAGATCTGATTTATGATCCATTTGGATGTTACTGCTTCTAGTATTCATATATGTAAAAAGAAGTTCAATCTTGGACATGTTTTGAATGTGAACATCCAAAGTGGGTTTCTCGACCGCCGTGCATGTTCGATGCCCGGCAGGCGGATGGATGGGCAACTGGCTTGAATATAGTAGAAATCTGTCACGTCGCCATGTTTGGTCGCACAGTGCCAGCATTAAAGCGGCGCCGAGAGTGAGCGCACGAGGCGTGACCAGTCGGCCAGAACATCCGCCTCAACCGCTACACCGGTGTGAATGTTGCGCCGTTCGGTCGGCATGCGCCAGATCTGTGACGTCCCCTCTTGATCAGCATAAAAGCGGCATGGAGAGCGGAGTAGCGACTAAAGCATGAAGAGAGAGATGGTTTTGTGGGCTCAGGGTGTGGGACGCCCACAAACCTCCTCCGGGTTTTTCTTCAGTTTGCGAAAATACGGACTCGTGGACCTGTTCGTGGATGGACAACGTTGGATGGTACAAAGTGTCTAGACAGCATGATTCGAGCGTAAACGGACGAATTGATGTACCTAAGAGTATATCAACATAAGTTGCAGACACTCAGCTGTGTGCGCACGCGCCTGGTTCACTTAATTTCTATAACTCAATTTTCTACTACTAAATGATGGTCGTGAAGATGACGTGGTAACCGTTCGAAGAAAGGAAAAGCGATCTCCTCAGCCCGCCGCCAGGGAGTTCCTCCACCGTTGTTCCTTCGGCGGCTCCCCTCTGCCGGCGACCTCGGTCGTCGGTGGTGAGGGGGGTCGCCGGATCCACGCGTGTGGATCAGTTTAGACCTACGTAGTCTAGATTTTTTAGGCTGTTCATTGCCTCGTCTTCGGCGGCGGCGATGGTGGCGCCGAATAAAGATTCTTCAAATCCTTCCCCAACAAGGCGATTGGTCCTATAATTGGGGATGGATTTGAAAACCAGTCTGTTCAAGTAAGGATGGCGTGGCGGCGATGATATCCTTGTGGTGGACAATGTGTCCTCGGGTTCCGCTGTTGCGATGACGTTTGCTCCGGCGGCGGCGCAGAGCTTGGGAGGTAGTTCAGGAGCGGATGTAGATTGTGGTATGCATCCACGACAGCTGGAAGACGGAACGTGTGCTGGGTTCGTGGTTCATGGATGGCAGGTATGATTTCCTCCTTCGGCGTCTTAGTCGTGGTGGGGTGCTAGATCTGAAGTTCGATCGCATGTCCTGGGTGTTGCCTCGGTCTGATTCGTTCAACAGCAAAGGCTTCACTTTTGATGAGCCACATTAGAGGTCCGCAAAGCTACATATCAGCGATGGAGCCGCGTTGAGCTTGGGTGAGAAGGTGATCCGTCATTTTTTTTGTGACTGTTGTGGTGGTGCCGGAGGCAGGTGACGAGCGTTGGTGTCAAGTTCAGAGATGTTCTGCTATCTTTTCAGTTTTGTCATGTCGGTCATCACGTGACTTATATTTTGATTTTTATGATATGAATAAGACACGTATTACCATGCAAAAAAGGACGAAGTGGTAACGTAACGAGGGATACATCGACTGAACTTTCTTCGTGCATTGCCCGTCGTACAGTCCTACGGCGATGGATTTGGACTTATCTACCTACCAATGTACAATGTGAATGAGAAAAATGTGTCTGGCGGAAAAAAGAAGGGTAAGCATCCGCCGCAGTGCAAAGTGCAAACAATGACACTTAATGTCCTTTTGTGAACTGTTTGTTGACTACTCTAGTCTTTGTCCATTACTGACCTTGCAAAGGAAGATTTGGTAATCGCCAACTTCTGCATTCCCTCCGTTTTTTCTTGCTTTGCATATAAGATTTAGTCAAAGTTAAACTCTATAAAATTTGACTAATTTTATAGAAAAAAATATCAACATCTACAATACTAAAGTTATATAGTATGAAAATTAATTTCATGATACATCTAAAAATATTGATTTCATATTATAAATCTTGATATTTTTTTCTGTAAACTTAATCAAAATTAATAAAGTTTGATTTTGATCAAATTTTATATGCAGACTAAAAAAGAAACGTAGGGAGTACAATTTGCGTAAGCTACGCGGCCTCTCCGCCGTCGTGGGCTGTCGGTACTGGCAGCAAGCCCGTCGATCACCTTCAGGATTCATCAACTCCACGTTTAGCATGGAAATCGGTCCCACTAATATGAATACCCACACGCATGTCGTCACGATATAAACATGGACAAAATGAAGGAAAGTGCACAACTGTAAGAGCATTTACAGCCGGACTGAATAAATTTGACCTCTCAAACGCCCACAGACGCATCCGGTCAGTGTCCGAGCGTGTCCACTTTGACTTTCTGTTTTTTTTTCCGTTTACGCAATCATATCCCTCTTTTTCTTATATGTTCGATCACATGAATGTGATTGGTGAAGAAAGAAAAAGAAAGAGAAAAGAAATAATAAAGAAAGGAAAAAGATGCTCTACGAGGGACTCAATCATATGTGTCGAACGCAGGACCACTGATCGGGCACGCCCAAACACTCCTCATAATCATCCTATATATGAGATGAATATGAGGGCTGCTGGACAGCTCGGGCATTTAAGGAGGCTTTGAGGGCTTTGGTTGGGTTAGCTTTTTGTTACTTTATGCTTCTCTCTCTTGTTCGGTTAGTGGTCCCTGTGTCCGTCCAGTCAATTTGAGGAGTCCGGTTGTAGACACTCTAATATTGTAACACAAGGGTGCAGGAATATGTAGAGATTTTTTTTATTTATTTTTTGAAACTGAAAAAAACAATTTTTTGAATTGGTTTTATCAAGATTAAATGTCACCAATGCTAGCAATAGAGTGGGGAGTGCTACGCGTCGGCCGGTGGATGTTTTAAAAAAGGTCTGCCAGTTTGCGAGCCGTCAGACCTGAAATAATCTCGTGGCGGATAGTCGTCCTCACTTTATGCAACTGAAGTCGTGTTGCGAGAACTTTTTGCAACATATGTCTTGTTACAGAAATATTAAAAAATTGTAGCATAAATCTTGTTGTAGATTTTCTTTTCCTGCAACAGAGTTCTTGTTGCAGATCTTTTTTGTAACAAAGGTCATACTGCAGAATTTCTTTTTCTTCGTCTTCACTTTTTTACAACATAGATGTTGTTGCAGAAATAACTTTCGCAATACAGGTGATGTTGCAGAAGAAATACAAAGAAGATAAAGTTCCAGTGCCGCCGCCGCGGTCGTCCACTAACACCGCCATCGTTAGTCGTCGCCGTTGCTAGAAGCTGGCGTGGGGAGAGAGAGGGCTTGATTGATTTTGGAAAGGAATACGCGTGTGGAGGGGAATTATCCTGGAGAAGATAAGGCTGGGTAGGAGATATGGTTGGTTGGATTGAAACGCATGATTTTGACTGATCCAATGGCGCACCGAGCGGCAGATGCAGCACCTTAATCATTTCTTATATTCTATAAACACATATCATAAAACTAGCCTCACATATTGCAAACTAGCCGTACGAAAGTACATAGTATGGAAGTTATTTGAGCCAATTTGGTACACTAATAAGAAAGTTAAAACCCGAGAAATAATAAGACTGTATCGTTTGTGTCTTCAAGGACTTTACTTTTATGTTTTCATGACTTATGTTCCTGTCCAAATATTACACGGTCGCATAATTCTTCCCTGACTTGCAGATGCTATTCAAGCCACATAATCCTTCCCTGACATGCATATGCTATCTAAGCATTTGTGTTCTAACAAAGATAAATTATTATTTTCAGTAAACCAATAAGAGGAGTACAAAGTCTAGGTCCCTGTCTCGATGGCAGACGGGAGGAGAGGAAAGAGAGCAGACGCTGTGGTGATATATTTTGTTG